AGTCTAGTCTAGTCTAGTCTATGTTATATTCTATATTCTATTACATTCTATTCTCTTCTGTTCTGTATATTCTATTCTATTCTATATTCTATTTCTCAGAGTCTTGCTTAAAGTGCCGGGGCGTCTGTCTCTCCACTCCCTCCCCCCTGAGTTGTCCAGGAAATGAGGGAATCAAATTTGCCGAAGTATCCAACAGCACTCGCTTAATTTAGTTGCTGAATTAATCCCTTTGCCGAGTTCGCACGAAACTAACCAAACGAATTGAGTTTGCCTAGCAGAGTTAAACTCCAGCCCTCATCCAATTTTGCAAATACTGGCAGTTCACGTGAGGCGCGAGATGTTTGGTGTCAATGATTTAATTGGGCTATTGTGAGAATCCAGCCCAAAAGGTGGATCTTCCACACTGGTGCTTGTAAGATCTTCCATTATACACAACCTCACATTGGTCCAGGACAATGGAGATTGTAGTCTAGCAGCTCTGGAAGAGCGCCAGTCGGGAAAACTTTGATATATCCTCTTTACGGTTGCTTCAAATTGGGGGGGGGGAAGGGGGGAACAAAACCAAAACACTACTTTTAACCTTGGAGCAGCGACCCTCCACTCATTTATAAGCAAGGAGGCCTCGTTGTTTACGAAGTGATCGTGAAAGCTCAGCCATTCGTAAACTAGGATTTTGTGATTTAAGAGACTCGTGTGAATCCAATTTTATTTAGTCAACCTTGGCTTTATTGCCAAATTCCATATTCCTAGGGCCTCATCAAAAAGTTGACTTCTGTCTCGGAGACCTTTCTTACCGGAGTATACATTACCAAATTTTAATTCACAACAAACAGCACTCGAAAAGAATTTATTACCGGAGAACGATCAGATCATTTTTAAAAAAAAAAAATAAAAACTTAAAAGCAAAACTAAGTTTATTATTATTTGTGTGACTTTTGGGAATGCGCCGAAGCGGTGGGTGGGTGGGTGGGAGGAGGGACTCGTTCACGAGCTTGTCAAAATCTGGTTTAATGTGTTTTCTATAAATTTGGGAGCTGTCCGTCATTCCACAATTTGCTTCGATGGTTACTATTGAAATAGCCCACAGGGGCCAGGTTCCATAGTTGGTTTCATAGAAGGAAAACTGGCAAACGTTGCTTAGGCTCGACGTGAAGCGGATAACTTTTGGCTGCGTGGGTCGGGGGTGGGTTGGTGTGATTGTTTCCACCTGAAAAGTACATTTCGGGTGACTGACGCCGAGCCCAGCCCAGAGATTCCCTTCTCCCTTCCCAGCTCGTGCCTATTTGCCCTATCCAAAAAAACTCATTGGCATCGGCAACTGCACCCTGTCCACCTTTCACTCGCTCCATCTCCCACAACTTTCTTTGCCCACCGAGCTTCTTCCCTCGCCCAGGTTCGCCTTTAGCTCAGCCGATCCTGCTTCAAGCTTATGTGGGACCCTCTCCGGCTTGCCTCCGCCTCCCAATAGGCCAAAGACTGAAGTCTTTGGGGCCGGCCTGGAGATGATCTCCAACAGCTCCCCGAGAAGACCTTTGTTTAATAAACGGGGTAGCCAGCGTCTCCCAACTAGCAGAAGCCACCGCCAGGCTGCTCCTTTGCAGACAGAAGGGAGAATGGGGCGAAAGTCAGAGAGGCAGCCCTTCTTCTGGCCATTCCAAGGAATGTCTTCAATTGCCAGGCCTCCAGACTTCTCCTCTTCCTTGAGAGATTTGGCTTGGGATTTGGGGCACCGAAGAAGAGCCAGATCAAACAATCCCTCTGCAGTAAAGGTGTGAGGTCAGGCTGGCGTCCTGGGAAAAGGCGCACCAGTTTAGGAAAGATCCTCTTCCTCAAGGAATCGTGTCATCCTCGGAGTAACTAACAAGTAATACAGTAAAAACCACTCCCCCCCCCTTTTTTTTTTTTTAGTAAAGGAGGCTTGTTTGGTCTAAAGGTTCTGATATACAGAGAGCTGAATGGTTGCTAAAAATGTAAGTGGCCGCAAAGCCACAAGAAATAAAGTTTGCCCCTTTGCTTTGCTGTTGTTTGCATGTCTTTGAAAAAGCCCATTTGGCTATGTAAACATGTGGGCATTGCCACAGGGACTAGGAACAGCCTTGAAACAAAGCATAAGAAACCCCCCCCCTCAAAAAAAAACGGGGGGGGGGGGGGGGAGGGGGAGACCCCCCCTTTTTTTTTTTTTTTAAGGAAAGGGGGGATTATATTTTTCATAGTTGTGGAGTAGAAGAGATTACATGCTTTGTTCAAAGATTATCCAGTTTACATCGGTGTCCTTTGAGGATCATACAAGAAAGCCGTTCCCCTAAATAAATAAATGGGTTTTGATACAGCCCTTCGTGCCAGCTTCTCCCGGGAAGAACCGCAGGGAAAAAGGTTCTTTTGCCAGCTGGTGGCTCTTAAGTTTCCTCAGGCAGGAGGGTCAGGATTTCTGCTCCTTTGTCTGTAATGACGATGGTGTGCTCAAACACAGCTGATCTGAAAGAGAAGTAGCAAGCAGCGAGTTAGGGGATAAGGTGGTCTTGGAAATCTATTTTGAAGGGAAAAATGCAGGAGGACTTCCAATTTGGGAATGATCAATTAAACTGAGAATTAAAAAAGACAGCAGGAAAGTTACCACCTTTTGAGGTCTGCACTTATCAGAGTCCAACCATCCTCCAGGAGACAACATTCGGTCATTCCTTCCATTATTACAGGCTCTTATAGGACAAACAGAAAATTAAAAAATGAGTATTGTCATAGTGATTTGCAAGTTTGCCCTTCCCAACCCCACAAGCGCCACTTTGTCCAGAGAAACCATCTTGAATTTTACTAAGCCATCCCTCAAAAAAAATCCCAATCACAAAAGCAGTTGCTATCGGTGGAAGAAAGCAAAGTAACCAACCGTCAAGCTGGATATGCGTTCCTATTTCAAAAAGGTGGAAGAAGGGCATTTTAATCAAGCTTTAATTAAGATCCTCATGGATCATAACAACCAAAGCCCCCCATCCACTTTCCTCCAAAGAGCAGGCAGGATGGAAATATTTGATTTTTTTTTTTAAAAAGCGGGTTTTAAAATGTTCATTAAATCAGCAAAACAACAATTTTCTTATTTCGCCTTAATTGCTGTACCATTTAGGCACGCCGTGAGTGAGGAATACATTTTTTTCCCCCTCTCTCTTTCCACCCCCTGATAAGCTCTTGATGATTGGTATTTAGCGTGTTCAATCTCCCAGGTGAGGGCTGCTGACTGGCTACTCAGCCAAAATGATAGAAGGGCAGCTCCTGGGCTCCAATGAAGGGGCATAATTGTTCCCAGAGAGTTGGGTGGTTAATCTGATATTCGGGAGGAATCAGCCTTCAAACTGACCTCTTACTGTGAGCTCAGCTTCCCTTCTTCCCAAAACCCACTGTGCTGTCATGACACAATCTAAATCTATCCTTAGGATGGACTGAGGAATTGTCAGTTCTCCAATTCTCCCTTGCTTGGGGCCTCCCTGAGCAAGCTCTTCCTTGAAGCTTCCGACCTACTACTACTCCACGGAGTAGTCCTGGGCAGCTCTGTTCTGCTCTGGGCAAATCAAAACTATCTCAGGTAATGAAGCCATCACACCTCTGGATAGAGAAATGGGCAGCATACCAATTTAATAAATAAAATCTATATTAAAATCAGTGATATTTTTTTTAAAAAAATTCAAAACTAACAAAATGTAGATAGTGTCATGAAAATGCAAATAGAAACCGTATCCAATGAGTTTAGAATAACTATACTAATACATTCAAGATTCAAACAGAGGCGCTTGAGTATTGTTCTGTTAAAACAATAGGAGTCCTAATGACTCTGGAGAAAGAAAATCTAATTGAACAGTAAGCTTGCGCAACAGTTTCAACTAACCTATTGTGAATGCCATTCCCTTCTCCATTAATACATCGTTTTCGTTTGCTACAAAATAAAAGAGAAACTTTTTGAATTACCCAAGTAAATAAAAAAGATGATCTTTTGCTAGAAATTTGTGTTTTCCTCAAACAGGATCATCCCCTAGCTAAGCCCATCTTTGCCCTGCCAAGCTTCTCATCGGTCCTTGATTATTCTGAATTCAGAAGACAGGACTGGCCAATTTGAGGCTTGCACTTGATTCTGAAACTACAGTATTTTGGGGGAGAGGGGAATAACCTAAGTATTCATCTCTAGCCGGAATGACAAATTATCAGAGGAAAGAAATACATTCAGATTTTAAATTAAAATTACCCTATATGCTTGAAGAGTCAAAGAAACTAAAGGAGATCTAGGTGAATGACTATTTTACACAAAGAGTGGAGTCCACCTATTATCTTCACACCTGGATTCCTCAGTATCATTACTTGAAAATAAATAACACATGTTACTTCCAAGCAGAAGTGAAAAAGATGCTAATATTCTCCCTCTATCCCCTCCCACCCCCCACCCCAGTTTTTAGTTAGTCATTTCAGATTTAGGACCAAATGCTGCTTCTGTTCCAATCCCCAACGTGTGGGGTGCTGAGGGATTTTCCTCAAGAGCTGCGCCTTTTAGCAAATACATTTTTATGTGGAAAAAATAATTGGCAAAAATCTGAAGACAGATGACAAAAGAAATGTGTGGCATTCAGTATGAAAATTTCTGATTCTGCTTCCCCACAACTGCTCTTTGCACAGAAGCCATGTCTCAGAGGAGGGCCAATCCTATAGTGTACCCTCTTTCTTCCATTAATATCTAAAGTTGATGGCCTTAAGTCAATTGCTGTAGATACCAATTTGGGGCCTTGTATTGTAGAAAGCTGTCTTTTCCCAACCTGTCTCCTGGAGACGGACAATCCTAACACACTTGGAAGGCACTAGTTTGCACAAGGCTGCATGAAGCCATAAGTGGATTTAGCTTGGCTTGATGCAATGTACAAACCTCAGTGATAAGTGGTTTATTACAGTAGGAATCTTGTCATAAGGTTAGTGTCTAAAAACCTGATCACTATGACTGGTTCGACAAACCATGCTTTATCATGATGAGCGGGAACTACAAAACCTTCTTTGTATTTGTCAAGCAAGCCTGGGTTTGTGAGAAACCAGAAGACCCTAGAGCTGAGGTGTCAAACTCGCGACGACACGTCGTCACATGATGGATCGCAACTTTTCCCTCCTTTTGCTAAAATGGGGGTGGGGATGGCCAGCGCATGACACATCTGGCCTGCAGGGCTGAGAGTTTGATACCCCTGCCCTAGAGGCTTATCACCAGTGGTATGCATTTTGAATTAGCATGGAAATAAAAATGTCTCTCCCACAATTCTGGATACTGCTCCTATTTGATCATGTTTCTGATTTGTTCATTTGAATTTTCCCTTAAAGTTCATTGAATAAGCAAAAGGACAATTATTTCCAGGAAGTGACAAAATGTGTATGTACTGGCAGGAGCACAACCCTTTTGCAGTTCGATGCAAATATAATGTAAGGTTACTCAAAGGACCATGGAAAATTAAGGAGGGGACCCTCTTACCATGTTGCCAAACTTCAGGATTACTATGTAAGTTCGTTCCTATCCCATGACCACCAATGTAAGGGCAGACTTGAAAACCATTTTGATGGGCAATGTTGCTTTAAAAAAAACACAGAAATGTTTAATACAACAAACAATTTCCAAGTTCAGAAGAATGCATTTCATTGAAGATATCATTACCATGTTCTCACAAAAGAACACAGCTGAGGATCCTGACACTACCACTTTCTGACAGAAATACACATTCTCGCATTTTGCTAAAACTCAAGACTTCATTTCATTTCTGAAATGGCAGAATACCCTGCTGTTCAGGCTCTGTAATAAAAAGAGAAAAGGAGATTGGGAATGTTATTAATGGGGGTTTTCACCAAGAAGTATTAATTTGTGGTAAGAGCTTTCCAAAGGTAATCCTGCCTTTTGGAGGGTTATCCTGTCTCTAAAAATCAGGAACTTTAAAAAACAATTACATTTGTCCAGGAACTGACAAGTGGATTACCAAAGTTAGAATTACTTCAAATCCACTAAGCATTATTAGATCAGTGCTTTCATTATTTGTAAAGCTGAGAGTTTGTATCCAAAATTGTGCATTTTAGGCATACAAGCATTTATAAGAGGAAGATTTTGCAGCCATAGTGCTTCCAATTCTTGTTGGGTGCTTTCTATAATCCTGCCGTAAACAGAGATAAGAGATAATTTGTTTAGTTTGTATTTGACTATGAACTTACCTACTTTCAGCTTCAAAGTATTATTTGAACCAAAAGTTTGCCATAGTTCAAAATTTGCAGTCCTTTGAATTTACAGTACACCTCAACAATTTAAAATATATTAGGGAAAAGATTACACAAAATGCATATATCTGTCAGTTTGCTCAAGTGGTTCAGGCATTAGGCTAGAAGCCAGAAACTGAGTTTAGTCCCGCCTTAGCCATGAAAGCCAGCTGGGTCACCTTGGTCAGCCACTTTCTTTCTCAGCCCACCAGACAGGACTGTTGTTGTGGAGAAAACAGAAGGAGGAAGGTGTATTGGATATGTTCACTGCTTTGAGTTATTGGTAAACATAATAAAGGTGGGATACAAATAAATAAAAATAGGCAAAATAGGCAAAATACATTGCATTTTACAGGAAAGAAAAAAGCACACTTGGAGAAATGGTTTTCAAAACACATATACTTGTTTAAATCTGATTTCTTTAAAAATAAGTTCATATGTTGGATGAAGCAAGCAATCTATTTGCAAAAGTAAGAAAGGCCCAACAAGAAAACCCCAAATGGATAGGTTCGTCTCTGGTTTTAAACAGAATCACAGCCATGACATGGTTCAGTTGAGTGGAGTTGGCTTTATCTCCAGGATCTGTAGAATCAGACGAGCTGGGTAACTGTGGCTTTTCATTCAAAAGAAACTCAGAAACCTGAAGACTGCAGTTTTCCTTTAAAGGCATCCCCAGAGCACATGTAGGAAGTACAAGAGAGATGACGGGCAACTTCTTTCCTCAAATGCTGTTTCATGCACTTAAATAAAAACTGTGTTGCTGTCCCCACCGGATTACATTGGAACTTAAGGCCTGGCAAAGTATTGTGGCCAAACCTGCCTATGGAGTTTTAAAATAAAAGATTTTAAAAAGTGGCACTTACCCACATTGGTATATTGGTTTGCAAAGGTTAAAGTTCTGTTAATGGCTTTGTGTGCTTGTGGCTTTATATTTAAAGTAAAGTAAAGGTAAAGGTTTTTTCCCTGTCCAATCATGTCTGACTCTAGGTGATGGTGTTCATCTCTGTTTCTTACTGAGGGAGCCAGTGTTGTCTGTGGTCCATGATTATATGCTAAGGTGCACAAAATGCTGTTACCTTCCCACCGAAGTGGTACCTATTTATCTACTTGCATTTGCATGCTCTCAAACTGCTAGGTTGGCAGGAGCTCTGGGACAAGTAAAGGGAGCTCACCCTTTTGTGTGGTGCTTGGGTCTTGAACCTAGACTCTCAGCTTTCCGGCAGACAAGCTCTTTAAAACTGCTGACCAATCATAGCCCCACAGCTTTAAATAGAGTATAATGAACATTACATAAGAATTAGGCATGAGGTACAAGAATGATCTTTTCCCATTAGTTAAATAAGGGCGAACTTTTTGTCCAAAATATTATGTTGAAAGCATAATAGGAATTAGGGCAAAGCTTACCAATTATGAGTGTGAATCTTGAGCATGAAAACACCACAGTTTAGCAATCTGAGATGAGAATGCAAACAAATGTTGCAGCACATTGGGGTAAGGAACTCCAAATATTCTGATCAAATTCAATCACTGCCAGCCAGCCTGATTAATAGCAAGGAACAGTAGGAGGAATAGTTGAAAACAACTGGATGGCACTCTGCTGCCTACCCTTGTGGTACAATTTCATCATCACTAACAGGATGTGTCGTCCTCTGGGTTAATAAACTGTTACGGGTTCAAGCTAATTCAATTCCTACTGTTGCAACATAAGAGAACATACATAGCTCAGGATTGAATCATGGAGCCCCTGGATTCCACAATTCTCATTGTCTTTATATTTTCCAATTCACTCAGCATATGGTGGCTTCTAATGCTGCTAACTGGGTTTAATCTTATTTTGATTTCTCTTTGTTAAAAAAAAAAAAACAAAGAAAGAGAGGACCTCTTTCAGTTCTATGGCATTGCATATGAATGCATATACAGTAACCCATTTGTTATTATTTGGTGGCCTCATTTTAGCTCCTTTTTAGAGGCATTATAGGAAAAATGGGTGCTACATATACCTTCACAACTCAAATTCCCCATTTCTTCACATCTGAAGACAGAAACCATTATTTTATAGAATATTCAAGGCAAATATCCCTTAATAATGCCATAGCAACTGAAAGTCAGTCATGTAAAAAGGAGAGAGTTGAAGACATGGCCTTATTGCTCCAGTTCTTTCATTAAATAAAGGCCTCTATTTGTATATACTGTGCACTGCCCCAGGAACATGATAGAGATGGCTGTGACCGCTGGCACTCATGAGTTGAGTCCAGTGCTCATTTAAAAAAAGAAATTACATGCACAAAAAACAGCAGTCTTAAAATGCTGCCGTCTATATGTAGAATTATGTCTGTTGACGGAGTTCAGTTGGCATGAGATATTGTCAGCTCTAAAAAATTACCATTTGGAGGTATTGTTGAGAACTCATATTAAAAAAAACCCAAAACCCTTGAATATCCTTGTTGGTTCTGTTTCAAGACATCCACGTGTGTCTGTAAAGGCGAGGAATTGGTTTCTTTTCTCCCATTTATTTTACACATCATATGAGGCCATGCTCTTTGCTCCAATGCTCACGAGCGCATGGCCACAATCAAGTGCTACCAGGATACAGAAGACACCCAACTACTGCAAAGTGGAGAAGTAGGTCAATAGCTTTTCATTATGTTCACAGATAACACCTTGAATGGATTTTTCTGAACAGGTTCTATAGATTAGCTACTGCTTGCCTACCAACACACCAACAAAAATCTTTAGCTATTACAGTATTTTGCGCGATTCTGGTGCACAGCAGAGTATAGATCTCAAATGCATGATAGCTGAAATGTCTTTATGGATCACCTAAATAGTCACAGGGAGTTAAGTAATGACACAAAGAAGCAGGAACATGGAAGTTAAAAGATGGGGTAGAAAATCAGTCTTGATAGGATTTGAAAGGTTTAATTGGAGCCCCAAAAAATGAGAATGAAAAGAAGCCAGAGAGTTAGCAGTGTCCACACTTACACATAAAAGTGAACAGGCTAAAGAGAAAATAGTAAGTCTGTTTCTTCAACAATGGAGCAACAGCCTTTTTATATTTCTATACTTTTCTCCAAGTTTGCTAGTGCCAAAATAATTTTATTTTTTATTTGGGTTTATTCATGCCTATTATCTTGCAACATTAAAGTGCTTTTTTTTAGAAAAAAATTATTCTTAGATAGGATAGATATTCAAAGAAGTTTTTGACTTCCAAATTCTTTAATCCTAACTCTATAGCTTTATACTAAGCTGCCATCGGTTTTGAAGTTGAAATTAAAACACACAGATCCTGGCACCTGAAATTCTCCCATCTCTGCAATAAAATCAGTGGCTGAGAGAGAGAGAGAGATGTTATGATGGTTATGCAAAGCCTCCATTCAAAGCTTAGACTGAATCATCCCTTCTAATTAATTGCCACCAAACTAGTTCAAATAAGACCTTACATGATTTGTACATTCCTAGTTGACAAATATAACAAGTGGTATGTAAACTTCAGTATGAATGATTTATGTGGTTTATATACAATGCTATATACAATACAGTATATAACCACCACTACACTCAAAGCAATTCCATTCATTTGGATGCAGTTTCTAATACGTGTCTGAAATCTAATGCCCATTTTAGATCAGTGGGAATCCTGTAGTCATTTAGTGTCACCATTGGATGTGCTATTGTGCAAGATTGACTTGAGGCGAAAAGTAAGCACACTTCACCAAGAGCAATTTAAACTCCTATATTGGGTCTAAAGAGCTGACCTAATATAGTTTGATATATATAAATCTGCTTTACGTTGTATTTCTGGCCTTTAAAATTGATTAATTCAGTGATCATGATGAATGGAATAGCCTTTGACAACCAAGCTCGTCAGACCAGAGCTGTCCATATGTACAATCTTATTACACTGAAGGAAATAAAGGATAATTCTCTGACTAGAATAAATTTCTTATGGAAAGGAACAGCTTTGCACAGCCATCCAAAAAGCAGGAAGAGACACAAGAAAGTAAGAGACATGGAACCTGGGGCAAGAACCTGGATGGGAAGGAGAAGACATGAGTGGTATGAGAGAGAGAGAGCTCTGTCTGTAGCTTTAGATAGTCTGAAAACATAGGAAAGGAACTGAAAACTGAAAAAGCTGAGGAAATAATAGGTGAAAGACTCAAAGAGAAAGGAGGCAAAGTAATATCCTAAACGTCATGCAAATTATAGAGCAGAATGAAATGGCAAGGCTGTCGTAGAGAGATTAAACCTAGAAGTCAAGGAAACAGAGCTCTTAGTTCCTCAGTTTTGAGTAAGACTGAATTTTGCAGGGGGGAAAAGTACAGTAAATATCA